CCATGGACATTCGTGGTTTTTTTTTTCATTTGGATTCATGATAATTCCATCTGACCATAAAACTGGATGTAAACTTGTCACACAGGCATATCCAATTCAAGTGTCCACAACAAAAGTTTTTTTTCCCTTTTTTCTCAATGAGGAATACCATCTAACAAGTTAACAGCACATGGTTCCACCTGCTCATAATTCTTAGGACGTACCGATCTGGTGGGCCATTCTTGAAAGCAACTTACATCCACTGCATCATTTGCCACATGAACTCCATTGGACCCACACAGAATTTTCTTGGAATAAAACATTGGCATCCAAAACTTATTCCCTATAACAAATGGTAGGGCATGCACATAATGCATTACTATTTTCCAAGCTGAAAATGTCCATGTCCTGTATCTCTTCTGTCACCTGGGTTGGTCCAAATACACCAGTCTAGTATACCTGTATGATTTAGACCGTGTAATCCTGCTGAATACACAAAAGTGCAAGCTTGTTGTAAGTATAAAAACATAAGCATATGTTCTCTTAATTGAATGGTTAAATGTTGTACAATAATACAAGATAAGGCACTACTAAATATATGATTACCACCATTCCCTACTTGTGGTCAAAGTGGTTTACTGTAAAGGAGCAGTATTTTAATGTAATCTATAACCATTTTCAAAATCATCTCATGTCATTTAAAAAATTTATATTGTAAATATCCCAGTGCATCCCTCTTTCCCACGCCATATCCAGTTGCCATTCTGAACAGCATGAAGTGAGCTGTAAGAAAAGGCTGGGGAGCCAATGCATGGAGCAGGTTGCCCTGCCACTGGTTCAGCTGGCCATCCTGGTGCTCTGCATGTGGGGAACTAGCACTGGCCCATTTTTGGAGACCAGGCTGTTCCTCTTCAGCACAGAGGGGCCACCAGTCACCTGTGCAGAGCAATCTTCATGGTCCTGGTCTCAGCAAGGACTTACCTGCTTCGCTTTCCATACGGGTTCATTAAATCATTCAGTAATTTATGTCCCATCATTTTCTGTCCAAAAAAGTGAATGTGACTTCAAGAATTCTCCTCCCAGTATTTCCAAGTGGGGAAAAACTGACTTAATAATGCTCTGCATTTCCAGTGTTCTCCTCATAAGGAACTGAAGAAGCATTGAAAGCTTCTCATCCCCTCTATTTGAGCCACACAAAAACAACCCAGAGATGCTGCACCTGGCCCAAAGTCACACAGGGAGATTAATGGCTGAGTGGGGACTAGAACCCGCTTCTCCTCAGTCCCAGTCGGGTACAACCAACCACCACCCCTCAGTAGAAAATCTTTTGAAATGTGCTACGATAGTGTAGCAGTGCAACAGGGCTTGCTTGACAGGGATGGGGGATGTAGGAAATATCTGAAGATTGGTGTGAACTCCTCTAGCCCAAAACAAGTCCCACTTCTTTTGGTGGGGGGGGTATGCCTCTCCCAAACTCTAGATAAATCCATCTTTTCTCCTGCTTTTGTTTTATTATTTTCTATTGGTTTTATTGCCTTAGAGACAAGTGTAAACATGTTTGGCACTCAGCCCCATGGCAAATACATAAATAGACAAAGAAATAAACAAAGTCCTTTAGCAAAATAACTGATGTTTTTGCAAGAGAAACCATGGAGGTTTGGGGAAGACTTGCCTGAGACTTGGTCCTCAGGTGGATGACCTCATAGAGAAATATCGGTGAGCTTGAGCCAGTTCTTTCCACCTGCTCTATCATTTTACATAGATATGCTCATCCCTGGTATCCTGTAGGGCTAGTTTCAGTTTTGGGATGTTGTGGATCCTGCATTTCAGTGTTTCGCTCCAATCTGCACTGCTGGTTTTGGTAAGTCCATAGAGCAATTGATGTGACCCCTTTGACCCCTCAGCTTTTCAGTCCCACCTAGCATGTTTTTGCTTGCATCATTCTTTTGAATGAGTAGATGACATTTGGAAATGTTCTGATGAAAAGGGTCCACAACATGCTGATGAGATGTGTTTCTCTGTCCCTGTAATCTGTGTTTGTGTTGTGGCCATGACAGTCCCTGACAGGTGCTTGGACTCCAACATGCATTGGATGGGGGTCAATAGTGTATTTTTGGATCCTGGGAGAACAGAGCTTGTGATCGAAACATTACACAGGAGGAGAGCTTGCTGGTTACTCAGGACCAACAGTAGGATTAAATGGTGAGTCCTGGAGAGAATCAGGCAAGAACTTGATGAGATGGTGTTAAATTGTCCATGAAGGAGCAGTCTCTGGCCCATTCTACACTTCCTATGAGTCTGACACATTTTCCAAGATAAACAACAGAGTGATTATTGTTGATTCCAGACAATGCTCTACATCCTCCTTGAGATTCCTTTTGAGACAAACTGAATTGCAAAATTAAGGGCCATGTCAGGGACAGCTGTGCCTTTTGCCTGAGGAGCTGGCTCAGTGCAACACCTGCAATTCCCTTGAGGGTCCGGGCTGAAGTTCAGAGCAGGCAGAGAGATGCAGGGACTGGGCCAGTGTGTAGCTTAGAAAAGCCACCATTGGCTCAGAAGTGAGTGGGACTGCAAAGTCAGAGTTTTCTGACTGACCTGAGTGTGTGGGTAAGAATAGCAGGCACATGGGGCATGTGGGAACTGAATCACAGTATTCCAGTGTTGGTGCTCATGCTGCTTATGCTTCTGCCACATGAAGTTTCCGAGATGCAGAACACAAATTGTCCTGGGGATATGTTTACAGAAGCAGTATATAACTATTATCTGGCAGGAGACTACCTGATCAGCGGAGTCATTTCTTCACAATATTTTGAGCATCAGGAACCCTATGTCTTCTATGAGTCACCAGCCAAGCGGAGGGTGATGTAAGTCATGATGCTCACATGCTTGCCATCCTGCATTCCTGCTGTGCCTCTCTCCTGTGGACACGTCATAGTTCAGCCCCACAGTCATTTTTTGGTAATTTCTGCTTTGAATTTGTCACTCTTGGGCTTTTTGAAGGAAAATTGGAGCACGCGGAACAGCATGTTCGCATATGTCTGGTCACTGCTTCCATGGCTTCAACCTTTTGTAGAAAGAGCTGTGTGCTTTAACCTGCATGTCATGACCTAGGCTGGAGTCAAGGTGGTGGTTTGTTGGAGTTGTCCAAATTATTCCATTGCTCATATGGCTATCCTGTTACCCCCACATTGCTGCCTATCATACAGTTGGAAAAGAAGTGGATGGTTGTGAGTTTCAGCTCTTTCAGGGAGGTAGAACAAATTCCATTGTGGACAATCAGTGGGGAAGTCAGGGAGGGTGAATGCCAAGCAGTCTTCCTTGGAGTGAAGATGGGGCTGTTCCCTTAGACTATTTCCACTTGGCATCTGGGGGAAGAGAGCAGATCTTGCTTCCCAAGACCTTCTTTGAGGTAAAACCTGTTGCAAAAAGATTAATGTTGCATCCCTGTCACTCAATTGCTAATCAGGAGAAAATGAACTTCTCCAGGGGAGGAAAATGTGTATCAAAGCCACTCTAATGCCTTGGTGAATGGCAGGTTCTTGTGCAGCAGTAGTTTGAGATAACTCTCTGTTTGTGTGTGCGTGTGTGTGTGTGTGTGTTTGCACATTGGCAGGCATGTGTGTATGAGTGTGTAAATGTTCTTGGTGCAAATAGTTTATACTACTCCTTCAGGGATTGTGGCACACCACCAGTTGGGACTTCTCATCTAACCTTCAGCATCCCATGAAGACCTGAATATAAGGAGATCCATGATGCGCTGGACCAGTGGTCCATCTAGGCCAGCAATTGATGTATGCAGTGGCCGAAGGGGGAGGTGTGGGACTCCCAAAAGTAGGAAGAAGAGAAATAAAACCTGCCATTTGCATTTCCAGCAAGGGATGTACATATGATCCTGCCTTTGTTAGGGTTCTGGGCGCAAACAATTGGGGGTGGAAATCTACTACATGCCTTGGGACAGGTTCCCTTTACTCCAGCTAGCTTTGTTCCTGGTGCATGAACCCCCCATTTGTGAGCACCTCTCCAGGAAGTGAGCCCCACACACCCATTGAGCAAGCAGCACAAACAATAGCAGCTGCCCTTTCAGTGGCTGCAAAAAGGCCAAAGAAGGCAGGTGGGGAGGGGCTTGCTGGGAATGCCACCCCATGACTGCTGGCAAAATCTCCCTGACAGGCCAGAAGTTGCTTCCAATTAAGCAGTCACAAGTGATGTGGAAGCTTGCGTAAGTGGTGATCTGTAAGAATTCAAAGATTTCTTCTCAGGTCAGCAAAGTTTGGAAGAACAGGCTGAGTAGAAGAGGAGGCCTGCAAATGCTCAGAGGAGGGATTCTGAGAAGGTTCATTCCAATCCATGCCTTTGATAAAAGAGGCAACATAGAGACTTCAGAAAAAGAAAGTGTCCTGTTAAAGTAATCAAAGTTAGTGTCCCTGAATAAGGTTGGTATGAACTCTTCTGGAATCTACCATTCAAAAATCTGTGGAATTCTTCTCAGGGTTGGCTCGGCCATGCAAAGTAAGCTGAGACAAGAGGAAATACATCCACTACACTTACCAGGTTACTGCTGCCAGTGTCAGAGGTGGGCAGGGAAGAATGGTGCTGATTGTGCAGCATGTGAGACTGTATTTCTGTGAAACATCTTGCAAATGCTGGGTGTGCTCATCAAGAAAATGGTCTCTGGGTTTTGAGAAGAGATTTTGAACCCCAGAAGCGTATACAAGGGAATCCAACATATTCTTAGCCATGGGTGCACCTGCAGCGAGTGGGTGACATCATTTAGGTGCATGCTGTGTGAATGAATCCTTCTCTTTACGTATTCTGAATCTCCTCTGAATCCTCTTCAAAAAATGAGCTCTGATACTGTAATTTTGCACTACAGTTTCCTATTTCAGAGGTACTGGCATGTGTTGTCCTTCTTGTTTTCCATCCTTGAGATCAACCAGAATCCCAGGCTCTTACCTAACATCAGCCTCGGCTATGACATCTATCAGAGCCATCTTGATGGAAGAACGACTTCCTATGCCATGCTAGGCCTGCTTGCTGCTGTGGAAAGCCATCTTCCCAACTTCAGCTGTGGGAAGAGGAAGAACCTGCTGGCCATTCTTGAAGGAAGTGAATCAGACATCTCCACTCTAATTGCAGCCATGTCCAGCATCTACAAGATTCCTCAGGTATATCCTGGCCAGCTCCACCCTCATCCAGGACATGAATACTGAGGTATTTTGGTTGATCTCGGAGAGATTTATTATTTGTTGAAGGTATGGACAAATCCAGTATTATCTTTCACTGGGATGTTTCTTCTGAACAGAGCAACACTCCAATGAGAAATATTTTCATCATCCCAGTGCTTTGAAAAAGGGGGAAATTAATAGCCACTGCATAGTGAAAGGGAGAAGAGCCAACTCAAGATGCTTATCTAGTCTTGACATTTCCGGTCTTGCTTTTGCACAAGTTACACTGGAGCAGGGTTGGATGAGCTCTTTTCACATTGCAGAGAAGGACCCCACTTTCCCCAGGCAATTATTGAATGGCTACTGTTGAGACCATCCTTCAGATGTTTGGGCCTTGCCTTCTTCCTCACCTTCCACTTCCTCTTCCTTGTGATGGGCCTTTGCATAGACATTGAATGATCATATCATTCTGATGTTCATCATAAAGACAAAAGGGTGCACACCACTTTCCTCTCTTTTCTTAGATCAGTTATGGCTCTGTGAATCCTGTTCTGGAGGATCACAGTCAGTTCCCATTCCTCTACCAAATGGCCCCAAAGGAAGAAAACCAATACTTGGGCATTGTTCAATTGGTTGCAAGATTTGGCTGGACGTGGATTGGTCTCTTTGCCCCAGACACCGACAATGGGGAAAGGTTTGTGAGGTCGGTAACCCCATTGATGGTCAGTCATGGAATCTGCACTGCCTTCACAAAAAGGCTAACACGGAAAAACGTATTCAGAATGTCTCAAACTGAGCTCTCTGTTGCGTGGGGACAAGTGAATGTCGCTGTTTTCTATGCAGACTCTCAGTACAGCTGTGCTCCAATTCTCATGATGCAGAGAACACACGGAGGGGAACACATTGGAAGAAAGGTCTGGATCACAACCACTGTGCCAGACATTAATTCGTTCTTAATGTATGATCCTGAATTCCTTCAGTTTCTCTATGGATCTTTGTCCTTCATCATGAAAAGCCCCCAAAGGACAAGACTTGGCCACTACACGCCAGCTTCTCCAGCTAATGTATGGTTTTGGCAGAATGCTTTCCATTGCTTCTACACAGAGCATGCTTTATCCATGAAAAGTTGGTCAAGCTACAGACAGAAGGAGACACTGGAGGTGCTCCCCCAGGAGGAGCTGGACAGAGTCTTTTCTCAAGGCAGCTTCACTAATTACAACAGTATCCAAATGGTAGCCCATGCCTTAAATGCTGCATCAGCATCACGATCCAAGTGGATATTGATGGCTGGAGGAGGAGACAGACTTCAAGCGCAGAAGCTGCAACCCTGGCAGGTATTCCCCTTTCTTGTTCTGGTTTCACAGCAAATGGCAAAAGATTTGGAGTTCAGTATTGCAAAAATGTGTTCCAGGACATCATCATGCCTATTGCATGGAAGTGCAGAAGGGGTGATTGAGCCTACTCTTCTCCCTTTGCTTTACCCTCAAAATACTACAGGGGCTTGTATTCTAAAATGTCTATGGAGCAATCACACTGTCTCGGAGCCATTCAGGTACACACTGTCCTGCTTCCTGAATATACTTTCAGCATAGTTTAGGTTTGTATGTTCATGCAGTCAACTTGATGCTCTTGTTATGAGAGAGACCATTTAGAAGTCCCTCACCTCTGCTGGCCCCATCTACTCCTCTGATTTCCACCTGATAGGTGGGCTAAGGGTGTGCAGTGAGGGCTCTGAACCAAGTCTTCCACATGATTTCAATACCATCTGCCTAGTTTCAGGTACCTCCTTTTTGGCTCAGGTTTTTGAGAAGGCGTTGCCAGGACATTTGCAGGCAGTCTCAAGGATGACCATGTTTTAGAGGTTGCTGATCCCCAGATGGTTGACCTTATTCCTATCCCTAACCATTGACTTGACCCCGTGATGGATGACCCTCATAGAGAAAATTTGTTGGGCTTGACCCAGTTCTTTCCACCTGCTCTATCATTCCACTTGGATTTGCTTATTCCTGGTGTACTTTAGTGCTAGCTTCAGTTTGGGATGTTGGACATGCCACATCTGAGGAAGATGAATTTGGGCTCTACTTTCTGGGATGTCTGCTATTGCCACTTCATAGACTTCCAGCTGGAGGAAAGGCCATCTTCACAGAACTTCATTGAAGACCTGTTTTTTTGGGACCCATTCCGCTTCCAACCAAATAGAATAACAGATCATACAATAGTAGAGTGGGAAGGCGCCATGAAGACCATTGGATTCAACCCCCTGCTTTTGTAGGAGAACAAGTTTCATAGATACATAGAACATAGAAAACATAGAAACAGAGAGTCAAAAGGGCCTTCCCTTCTAGTCTGACCCCCGGCCTCAGCTGGCTCCACTCATGACAAGCCTACAACATGCATGTCTAGCCTATCCTTGAACACCCTCACCATTGAGGCCTCAACCACCTCCCATGGAATCACTTTCCATACCCTCGGTTTCCTAACTGTCAGGAAGTACATCCTGGCTTCCAAATTGAACCTTGGTTCCCCGGGATTCACTCCATTGGAGCGCATCCTGTCCTCCTCTGCAGGGGAGAACAGGTCTCTACCCACCTCCAGTTGACACCCCTCACATACCTGTATGTCACCAACAGATCCCCTTGGAGTCTCCTCTTCTCCAGGCTGAAAAGAACCAGTTCCCAAAGTCTCGCCTCATGCGGCTTTCACTACAAACTGGCCACCAACCTTGTACTCCTACCCTGCCCTGACTCTCACCTGGCTATATCCTTCCTGATATAGATGGCTGTCCAGTTTCACCTTGAATGTCTCTAGTGTGCATGAGCCTACCACCTATATAGGAGACTGGTTCCAGTGTTACATTGCTCTGAAAGTGAGGTAGCTATTCCTGATCTCTAGCATGAATCTGGGTTGCTGCATCCTAAATTAATTATTCCATGTCCTACACTGGGGAATCAGCAAGAAGAGATCCCGACTTTCCTTTTTGTGACAACCTTTGAGGTACTTATAGAGTGCTACCACAGCCACCCTCCGTCTTCTCTTTTCAAGTCTAAACATGCCCAGTTTTCTCAGTCTCTTCATAGGGCAGTTTTCCAAACATTGGATCATATTTGTTGCCCTCCTCTGGACCCTTTCTAGTTTTTCTATATTTTCTAAGAAAGCAAAATTCTTTAATACTGCATTATGTCTCAGTAGTACTGGGCATTGTGCAGTTATTGTTATGTGTTCTCTGTCTATGTTATGTCTTCTTTTGTCTTTGTTATGGGCCATCAATTCATTGCCTTCTTATGTGACACAATGAATGAAAGCCCTCACAATGTGCAGTTCACAACAGCTCCTTTCAGGATTTCTGCGTTCAAGGCCGTGGCTTCCTTTAAAGATCCAACGCATCTCATACTTGGCCTTCCCTTTCATGTTCTGCTTTCAAAGCCCCCTAACAGGAGTGTCTTCTCCAGGGAGCCCTGCCTTCTTATGAAGTGTCTGATGGGGCAAACAGTGGAGGAGATAGAAGGAGACAACACTTCCATGAAGGCCTCCAGAATACTGATGGTGGCAATGTGGCTATCCTTCAATGGGGTTCCCCTATCTCAAGAACCACACTCATGTGCCACTCTTGGCTCTGGTAGCAGGACATCCTTGAGGGAAACCATCCCCAAAGATGATTTCAGGGATTACTCTCATCAGTCGCAAACAGCAGGATCAGAAACAGGAATCTGGGAGACATCGAGAGGGACCAGTTGGGAATGCTGGGCTTATGTGAAAGGGTATCTTCTGCTCATCTGCAAAATGCTAAGGGGAAGAGAAAAGAGATCAAATAAGGTCTCTCAGGTGGAAAATCTGAATGCAGAAAAATGCACATTTGCTTTTGTGCATAAAAGGTCAGAATTCAGAGCAACGATGGCTAAAATATCGAACATCCTGTCAATCCAGAGACCCCAAGGATTATGGAGTGGGAGATAGATGCAATGAATGAATGGATGTAATTAACATGTTGTCTTCTTTGTCATTCTAGTTCCACCATTTCTTAAGAAGCATCAGACATTTTAACACTTCCATGGATGAGCTGCGTTTGGATGAACATGGACGGCTGGAAGCCCACTTTGATATTGTGAATTGGGTGCTGTTTCCCAATGATACTCCTGGACTGGTGACCATTGGGAGTTGGATGAGAAGTGTATTCCCAGGGAAACAACTCAGCATCAACACAGAAGATATTGAGTGGCCCAAGCATTTTAACAAGGTGGAGAAAATGACTTCTGTCCTATCATTGGCCTGTGGCTCAGTAAGGATTTATGGATCTGTGGGATATGACATGCAAGTCATCCAGTGGCATACAATACACACTTCTAGGGAAAGAATCCTGCTGAGCATAATGGGTCGTCCTGTTGCATAGTCAGCAGGAGGATGGCCTTGCAAAGAGAAGCTTCTCTCTGGAGAAGGGGTGAGGAGTACTCTGGTCCTCATCCTCTTTGGAGATCATTACTCCGGTTTCTCAATGCACAGGAAGTGGGAACAGTTCCATGGGGGGATTTCACTGGGATGCTGCAGAGCTCCTTCAGGCCTCCTTCAGGCCTCCACAGAGATCCACCATATGCACTTATCTGCTCTGGTGGAAACTGGGAGATTTTGAATGAGATTTTGAATGATTGCTGAGAATGGGCAGCTCCATGTCTGCCCAGAAAGCAGAATCCAAGGAAGATAGGAATCTTCTGAAACTCTGTCTGGCTGCACTCAATAAGGCCCACAGACTGATTCTGATTCTTGACAAGTCCTGGATTGCATGGATTGCTAATTTGGAGGCATAAAAATGTGTGTGGTGGTGGTGGTAGTGGGGGAGATTTCTGTGTGCTCCTAGTGGCATTGCATTCCCTGTGAAAGAAGAAGAGGTGCTTCTGGATGCAATGCAGGTAGCAGAGGCCCAAGTGACTTCTGGGGACTGGAGGAAGAGGCACCATCTCTGGGTGTTATTTTCACCCTGCCAGACCTTTGAGTAAAAGCCTGGCCTATTTTCTCCATACATTAAGAACCTCATCCCAATATCAATGCCATGGGCCCTGTGTGGTCATACCTTGGTACAGAGGCTGTGGCTGTTGTGTGAAGTAGAACAGAGATGCTGAATGGGGCTCCTACTAATGGCAAAATCACATCTGTGTTGAAGCTTGACTTCCTAGAGGCTAAAAAATCAAGTAGACACTTTCTGGTTCCTGATTCCTAGCAGAGCAGAGCCCCAACTGGTTTTGCACTCTGGTGTCCACCCACCCAAGCTCTTAGGGAGTGAGCCAACTGGGTCAGCAAACCAGGGTTTGGTGGAGGAGTTCTTTGGGGCAGCTCAAGGGAGAGGTCCCTGACATTATTTCCTCCTTCTCCTACCAGACACTTGTTGCTCTTCCTGTGGCACACTCCCATTAACTAGTAAAATAGTGTTGCTAACCTTAAAATGAAACCAGGAGAAAGCACCACTTGTCTTTATTGTCCCGCAAGGCAGAACCATGCTGGATGCATGGGCAATGGACCAAGTGACCTGTGACAACACTGCATTGTTTGCTTTCTTACCTGAGAGCAACATGTCCTACACATGCAAAAGGTGCAAGTTGCAGCCCTCCTTGATGAAAAGTCAAAAGCACTGGAGCAGCAACATTCCTTCTTCATGATAGTAAAAACAAATGAAGAGTTTCTCATCAAAATGGTGGAGTTGCAACAGCTCAGTGTAGTCTGGAAGCAAGAAGATCACCTGCAATGTGAGGCAAAAGAAGAGAACCTCAAGGGAAGAGAAAAAGAGGAATCTCTCTAGAACAAACCAAAATACATCAATGAGAGATGTGGATCATGTGGCTCATCAAAATTGAAAAAGAAAAAGACCTGGGAGAAATTGTTGACAACATGCTAAATACGAGGCAACAATGTGATGCAGGCACCAAAAGGACACACACTAATTTGGAATGCATTAACAGAAAGGAGTTTGGCAAGGCTGTATACTGTCACCCTGCCTATTTAACTTATATGCAGAGCACATCATGAGAAAGGCAGGACTAGATGAATCACCAGTTGGAATTCAGATTGCTGGGAGAAATATCAACAACCTCAGATATGCAGATAGTACCACTCTCATGGCAGAAAGTGAAGAGGAACTAAAGAGCCTCTTGATGTGGGTGAAGGAGGAGAGTGCAAAAGTTGGCTTGAAACTCAACATTAAGAAAACTAAGATCATGGCATCAGGTCCTCTTACTTCCAGGCAAATAGATGGGGAAGAAATGGAGGTAGTGACAGATTTTATTTTCCTGGGCTCCAAGATCACTGCAGACATGGACTGCAGCAAAGAAATTAAGAGATGCTTGCTCCTTGGGAGGAAAGCTTTGGCAAATCTAGACAGCATACTAAAATGCAGAGACATCACCCTGCCAACAATAGTGCATATATTCAAGGCTATATTTTTCCTAGTTGCAATGTATGGCTGTGGAAGTGGACCATAAGGAAGGTTGAGCACCAAGGAATTGAGGCCTTGGAATTGTGGTGCTGGAGAAGACTCCTGCAAGTCCCTTGGACTGCAAGGCGATCAAACCGATCAGTCCTAGACGAGATCAACCCTGGCTGCTCTTGAGAAGGCCAGATACTGAAGATGAGACTCAAATACGTTGGAAACCTAATCAAAAGGAAGGACTCACTGGAGAAGAGTCTAATGTTGGAACAATTGAGGGCAAAAGAAGAAGGGAATGGCAGAGAATGAGGTGGCTAGATGGAGTCACTGAAGCAGTTGGTATGAGCTTAAGTGGACTCTGGGGGATGGTGCAGGACAGGAAGGCCTGGAGAAATATTGTCCATGGGGTAGCGATGGGTTGGAAAAAGCTTTGCGACAAACAATACACGTATTACATCCAAATCATGAAAAGTAATAGTTCCCCTCTTCTCCTCACTAGTCAACCCACATCCGGAATCCTGTATCCAGTTCCGGCTATCAAGATTTAAGAAAGAAAAGGAAAAATGAGGAAAGGTCCAGAGGAGGGCAACAAAAAGAATCCAAGGTTTGGAAACACTGCCTTGTGAGAAGAGGCTGAAATAACTGGGCATGTTCAGCCCTGAGAAAGGAAGATGGAGTGGGGACATGAGATGCCTGTATAAGTACCGGAAAAGCTTTCAGAAAGACAAAATATCCTTTAAGAACAGCTGCATAATTCCTTTCAACTGGCAATACTTCATTTGGATTTTTCCTCTTCCTGATGATGATGATGATGATGTTGATGATGATGGCAGAACGTAGAAAGCAGCAGAGAACAGGAAGGCCCTTCAAAGGTGTGGCCCCTCAACTCTGACATACGTAACCCCAACACTAGTTATTAATGATGAATGAGGGCTTTTCCTACTGCCCCACACCAGCCCGACTTATAGGTGCTTCTGGCAATCCTGTCTGCAAGATGCTTCTGTCAATTCCTTAGCACTCTTTAAATACTATACAGTTCAGTCCCACTGAAAAACTGTCCTAGTTCAGCATTTTACAGTATGCTTTTCATCAAAAGGAAGGATTGCAGTGCTCAAAAAACTGAGTAAATGAAATTGATTTAGTTTAGTACATCATCAAAAAATTTTGCAGAATTTGACCATTTGTCTCAGGAACTGGACCACAATGGGAATATTCAGACCCTACAATTCACTGCTGAAAAATGGACTCCTCAAAATGCCTCTTCTCCTCACTGCTAGGTGGTGCCTCATTCCAGGTGTGTGAAGAGCTGTCACCCCGGTTATGCCAAGGAGACTCAGGAAGGGAAGCCACCCTGCTGCTACACTTGTGCCCTGTGTGCAGAAGGGACCATCTCCACTCAGGAAGGTGGGTGTCCACAGAGGAAAAGGTTTTCCCTTCAAATGTAGGGCAAATGCTTGAGTCTGCCCAAACCTTCTATGTGCAATTAGTGGCTGATTTGGAAATGAACCAAAGAAAGTAACCATTTAGTGAGCAAGCAGGGAGTCTTTTTGGTTGTGGCCACCTCTCAATGTATCACCTCACCCAGGATAACTCAAGCAATGCCAAAGGTGATGTGATCCTAGGGGCAGGGGAAGCCATCTTCATTTGCTCAGCCATGTTAGCAGTGTTGATGCTCTTGTTCTTTCCAGAATCTCAGTTATGATAATTGCAACTTCTTATGAATTATCTTATGATCAATTTTTAGACAGAATTATTGAAGGTAGGTTTGAAGCCCCAACAAGGTCAATTTCATCCTGCCGCTGTTATGAAGCTATTTAAGAAACCTCGCCCCCACAAAATCTTCCTCCAGATCCTAACCCTCTTCAGGAACTGGTGCAAACTTGCTCCTTGGCTCTCTCTTCTTCAAAGCATAACAATGAAGTAAAATAAAAATAAGGAAAGCAACTTCCTACCACCAGAATTTAGTTCACACAACCACTTGTCGTGGTGACTCAAATGGGAATAAAAGTAGAACTCATCCCACAATCATATTGGCATTAGCACAGTTCACCATCCTCTCTCTCTGAGTCCTTAGTTCCAATTGTGAGGAGCTCCATCATGTCCTCCAGAGATGGGCTGGCATGTCTTGCCACTGCAGGGCCTTATGTGATGGTGATGCCAAAGATGGAGCCTGGTAAGCAAAAGGCGTGTTCCCCCCCCTTGGGATTTCAGACTCTCTCCCTGTCAGACCACAAACAATTACCTCTTGATATCTCCCACATCCCCCTTTTTACCAAATGCAGTAAAGCTGCTCTGGATGTGCAATTGCTGGTGGCCATACTGAAATTGCTTCCCTTCTTTCCAGATGGAGAGCAGTGCAGCAGGTGTCCTGACCATCAGCACCCAAACAAGGACAGAGATCACTGTGTCCCCAAGAGAATTACCTTCCTCTCCTATGAGGAACCTTTGGGGATTCTCCTGGCTTTCTTTTCCCTAATTTGTCTTTTAAGCTCAGGCCTTATACTTGGAATCTTCATTATATTCCGAGAAACTCCAATCGTCAAAGCCAACAACAGGAACCTCTCCTACACTCTCCTCGTTTCCCTTCTGCTTTCCTTCTTGTCTTCCTTCCTGTTCATTGGCCAGCCGAGCAAAGCAACTTGTCTGCTCCGTCAAACAGCCTTTAGCATCCTCTTCTCAGTTGCCACCTCAAGTGTGTTAGCCAAAACCATCACTGTGGTGCTGGCCTTTCTGGCCACCAAGCCAGGGAACAGAGTGCAGAGATGGCTGGGACAGAGTTTGGCCACCTCCATTGTCATTTCCTGTTCCACTGTGCAACTGGTAATCTGCTGCATCTGGCTGGGCATGGCTCCACCCTTTCCAGATGCTGACATGCACTCCCAGCCTGGACAGATCCTCTTGCAGTGCAATGAGGGGTCTGTCACAATGTTCTACACTGCCTTGTGCTACATGGGCTTGCTGGCCGCCCTGTGCTTCACAGTGGCCTTCCTGGCCAGGAATCTTCCTGGAGCCTTCAACGAAGCCAAGCTGATCACCTTCAGCATGCTGGTCTTCTGCAATGTCTGGATGTCCTTTGTGCCCTCCTACCTGAGCACCACGGGGAAGTACATGGTGGCTGTGCAGATCTTCTCCATCCTGGCCTCCAGTGCTGGGCTACTGGCCTGCATCTTTCTTCCCAAGTGCTACATCATTATCCTGAGGCCTGATCTGAATACGAAGGAACATCTCATGACCAAAAGCAAAGATACCATCTGACTGCAGTGTATAGCCTAGAACTGGGATTCTGCATATCTGCCAACAGCATGGCCTTTTCAGTAGTGGTCCCCAGGTTTTGGAATGCACTCCCGAGAGAGGTTCAACTGGGTACCTTCATTTGGACTTTTTGTGGCATGTGGTGACATTTATCTTCTAAGCATCAAAGTTTTTCAGCAATTTTTTCTTTCAGCATATACAGTATATTTAAAACATTACAAAATTGCTTGATTTCACTGTGGCTTTTTAGCAGGGTGCCAAGCTTTTGAAAGTTTTACATTTTTCATCCTGCTATATTTGTAACTGGTGTGAACCATCCAGAGAATTTTTGGCTATTGGCTTACTACAGTAAAGAAATACATGTAATACTCCAGCCAGCACTGCCACTTCTCTTTTGTCAAGAGGGTCCTGCAATTCCTATATTCATGTCACTCTCTCCATCCACTTTCATAACAGTCAAAGCAGCCCACAAGGTTGTGCTCCTCAATATTTTATCCTCCGTACAATATCCTTGTAATGTCTGATTGGTGAATTTTCTTCTCATAAGGTTTATGTCCACATGGGGAGGAGAACCTGTGTTTTCCCAAATAAGCCAAACACGGTTCGAGCACATTCATTGTTGAGCCTTCTTCTCTCCACATCTCTGGAAAAGAGAGTTCTCCCTTTTGGGTAGTTGGTGATGTAACAACTTGGTGATTCCAAATGGCTCAGTTACCTAAGAAAGTTATTCACAGACCAGATGAACTCCCTGGTTCTACTTTCCAGGGGTGGGAGAGGAAGTAGTTCGGCTGCTGCGCACCATTGGTTGTTTCTAGAGATGTGTGAGAAATCGAATGGATGCTATTGCTGTGGGAATTCACTAGATACCCTGGTTTGACTGCCTGTCCTGAGTCCCACTTTATAGTGTCATGTCTCCAAAGGCATGTCTAGCGAGTGTGGACTGCTCCTTGGGAATTTAGCCCCACACTACCATTTCCAAAGAAGCTTCCCTCTTCTGTGCACCTGCTGGTTGCACAAGCTTTGTGTGATGAGTGTTGTCAAATTTAATCTGCTCTTGGCTCATTTTCCATGACTGGGCCAAGCAGGAGCAGGAGCACATTCATGCTAAAGGGGTGGATTCCACTAGGCCTCAACCCAACCCTAATCATTCCGACAGCTATCTGCACCACATGGTTTATTGCACCTGCAGAGAAGGAGGGGAAGGACCGTGTTTACCAGCTTGGGAAATCAGCATGGCTATCAATTGAATCAATTAGGAAATCTACAGGGGCCCATGTGTTGCCCACAAATGGAATAACTATTGTTGTTCCCAGTCTGGGCTCCTTTGCAGGTATGTCTGTGAGAGAGGTCTGGTCAAGCACCCCATTACCACTCTCTCTGATATCAAAGATGCAGCCCTATCAAAGAGGACAAACAACATGGTTTTCTCCCTCTGTGCCCCACTTCCATGAGACACACAGTGGGTTCAGCAGCACAGTGGATGTTAGATGATCAAGCACAGAGTGATTGATGTTTATTCCAGCCAATGCTCTGAAGACCTTCTTGGGATTTCTCCTGAGAATAAAAAGGCAAATAGCAAAATCAAGGGCAAGGGCAATTTCACAAGACCCCACAATTTCTGCTTGAGAAACTGGTTGTGTGCAACACCTGCAGTGCTCTTGAGGGCCAGGCAGAGAGATGCAGGGACTGTGCCCAGGTGAACTTTAGAGAAGCCTCCTTTGGTTCATATGTTAGTGCATTTGTTAGACTGCAGGGTCAGAGTTTTCTAGTCGAGTTGGTTGTGCAGTGAGAAAAGCAAACATATGAAGCATGTGGGAATTAAGTGTAAGTATTCCAATGTTGGTGCTCCTGCTGCTTCAGCTGCTGCCTCATGCCGTTTCTGAGATGCAGAACACAAAATGTCCTGGAAATATGTTGGTCAAAGGGGCATCCAACTATTATCTGCCAGGAGACTACCTGATCAGTGGCATCATTTCTTCACAATATTTTTGGTATCAGCAAACCTATGGCTTTTATGAGTCACCAGGCAAGCAGGGGGAGAGGTAAGTCATGATGCTTAAATCCTTCCCTTTCTGCACTCTAATTGTGCCTGTCTCTGCAGACAGCCCATAGATCTGCTTCTGTGGTCATCCCCTTGGAATTTCTGCTCTGTATTCTGACCAACATCTGATGTATACAGTAGTAAACTGGGTGCCACTGGAAATGCCAAAAATAGGAAGGACAGCAATAACGTCTCTCTGTTTTTGTATTCAGCAAGGGATGTTCATAGGATTCTACCTCTGATAGGAATGTGTGAAAATCACATGTCTCTGTTTTGGCTCTCTGAATTTGGCTCACTTTGTTCCTGGTGAGTGTGTCCAGCTTTTATGAGGAACACTCCAGTAAGCGAACCACACTCCTTCTGCAAGTAGCCCCACTCTTGACACCAAGAGCAGTAGCCCTTTGGCTGCAGCTGATGCTCATGAATGCAGGTGGTGAGGGGCTCACATGGAACAGGGCCCCCATGACTGCTGGCAGCATCCTGCTCAGCCCAGGAGTAGCTTCCACTTCAGTGGTCACATCTGATGTGGAAGTTCGCATAAGTGGTTGTCTGCAAGGATGCACAGACTTTGCAGTTCAGCATAGTTTGCAAAAGCAAGCTGAGCAGGAGAGGAAGCCTGAAAATGCTTGGAGGATCAACTCTGGGAAGCCTCATCCCAACCCCAAGCTTTGATAATAGACAACATAGAGCCATCAGAACTGGTCTCCTCCTCCTGGTCTCTTGCTAAAGTCATCAAAGTTAGTGGCCCTGACTAGGACTGGTATGAATACATTTGGAATCCTCCTCATGTGGAATCTGTGGCTTCTTTCTTGTTCTTAGCCTGGGAAAAAATAAGCTGCACAGTAAGCCAAGTCAAAAGGAAATCCACCCACTACACATACCGACTCAAAGGTGCTGATGTCAGTGGTGGGCATGGAAGAATGGCATGGCTTGTGGGGCTAAACTCTGCAGAACATCCTGCAGATGCTGGATGTGCTCATGGAGATCTCAGTTTCTGGGCTGATGAGAAAAAATCTTGACTCTGACAATTCAAAATTGGTGATTCTGACAGATGTTTTTTGCACATCCCAGTCATGGCTGCATCTGCAGCCAGTGAATGCCAGCATTTAAGTGTGCACTGTGTGAATGAATCTTCCTCTTTAAGCATCCAGAATTTCCTCTGAATCATCTCATAGAATGAGTCCAGATTCTGTACTTCTTGCCTTGCAGTTCCTCATTTCTAGGGTACTGGTACATGTTGTCCTTCGCGTTTTCTATCCATGAAGTCAACCAGAATCCCAGCCTCTTACCCAACATCAGCCTGGGCTATGACATCTTTGAGAGCCATTTTGATGCCAGAACGACTTCCTATGCCATGCTTGGCGTGCCTGCTGGTGGAAAACGCCACCTTCCAAACTTTTATTGTGGTAAGAAGAACCTGTTGGCCATTCTTGAAGGAACTGAATCGGACATCTCATCTCTTATTTCGGCCATGTCAGGCATCTACAAGATTCCTCAGGTAGGCCCTGGGAGGGGAAGAGAGGTCAGCTCCATCCACATCCAGGACACCAATACTGCAGCGTTTGGGCTGATGTTGGAGGGATCAGTCATTCAGTGGGAACATGGATTAATTCAGACATATCTGTCATTCTGGGGAGAAAGACAACTCTCCAATAAGAATTACTTCATCAGCCTAGTGCTTTGAAGAAGAATAAAATCATTATTCACTCCGAAGTGGAAAGGAAAAGAGCCACCTTGGAATGCTCATCTAATCTTGAGTTCTCCTGCCTTGTCATGCCACTTGCTAGCCTGGGGTGGGGTTTGGTGAATTTCTTTCCCTCTGCAGGGAAGGGGCCCTCTTTCCCAAAGTAAACATTGAACTGCTACTGTACAGATGCTTCTTGAGATATTTTGTCCCTCCCTTCTTCCTCAACATCCACTTCCACTTTCCTTGTGATGGACCTTTGCTTAGAGAGTTAATTTTCATACGATTCTGATGTTCATCCTACAGACAAAAGAGTGTAAACTACCTGGCTCTTCCTTTCTTCATTAGATCACTGAAGGCTTGGTTAGCCCTGTTCTGGAGGACCACACTCAGTTCCCATTCATCCACCAAATTTCCCCAAGAGAAGAAACTCAATACTTGGGCATTGTCCACCTGGTTGTGAATTTTGGTTGGATGTGGATTGGTCTTGTTGCCCCAGACACTAAACATGGTGAAACATTTGTGAGGAAGGTGATCCCATTGATGATCAGTCATGGAATCTGCATTTCCTTCACAAAAAGGCTAGCAAGACAAAGCCTATTTGGAATCACTCAGAATGAGCTCTCTGATGTGTGGGGTGAAGTAAATGTAGCTGTTTTCTATGCAGACTCTTGCTATGGCTGTATTCCAGTTTTCATGATGCAAGAGGTACTAGGAAGGGAAAGAATTGCAGGAAAAGTCTGGATCACAACCACTATGTCAGACATTAACTTGTACTCAGGGTCTGATCCGGATGACTTTCAGGTTCTCCATGGATCTTTGTCCTTCATCATGAAGAGCCTCCAAAAGACAAGACTTGACCAGTATTATCCATTTTCTCATGCTATGGATCAGTTTTGGCAGAATGCTTTTCATTGTTTCTACTCAAAGCATGTTGTTTCCATGAAACTTTGGTCAAGGTACTCAGGGAAGCAGAAACTGGAGATGCTCCCCCAGGAGGAGCTGGACAGAGTCTTTTCTCAAGACAGCTTCCGCACCTACTACAGTATCCAAATGATACCCTATGCATTAAGTGCTGCATTGTCATCCCAATCCAAACAGATATTGATGGCTGGAAGAGGAGACAGATTTCAAGTGCAGAAGCTGCAGCCCTGGCAGGTACTCCCCTTTCCTGTTCTAGTTTCACAGCAAATGACAAAATGTTGTGAGTTCAGTTTATGAAACACTTGTTACAGGACATCCTCTTGCCTATTGCATAGCAGTGACAAAGGGGAAATTGAGCCTGCTCTTCATCCTTTGCTCATCCCTCAAGGTGCTACTTGGGCTTGTATTTTAAAATTTCCTGGGAGCATTTGCAGTTTCCTCTGAACCCCTCAGGAAAACAGCATCCTGTTTCCTGAAATTACTTTCGGTATACTTTTGGATTGCATTTTTATGTAGTCAGCTTGGTGTGCTGTTATGTCCGGCACATCCAGCAGCTCCATCAATTCCACCTGATCATTGATTTCCACCTGATAATTTAGGCAAAGTGCCTGCAGCAATGCCTCTGACTGAAGATTTTCTATAGTGACCTAAATATGGGGGTGCAGCTCCAGATATTATAAACCCATCCTTGCCCAAAGTACTGGAATCTCTTATGCTTGTGGTATTCCCATTTTTAAAGAACCTTGTTCTAGAATGGATGGATTTCAACAACATGTATCTCATTGCTGGTACCTCCTTTTTGGCTCATGTCCTTGACAGGGTGTTGTCAGGTCAGGTAACCACAAGGATGCCCATGTTCTAGAGGTTTTACTTATTTATTTATTTATTTATTATTTAAAACTTGTGTATGCTATCCTATATATAAATATCTCAGAATGGCTTACAGTGATTTAAAAACAATTAAAAACATCTAATAACATCCACCCACAGATTAAAACAGTAATTTTGTGTGAAACAAGAAATGCACATCAAATAAATCAGATTAAATCAAAATAAAACAAAGTCCCACAAAACAAGTTCTTGTTCACAATCATTCTTTTTAGTTAGTACTTGACATTTTGCAAATGTCAGGTTTGCCCCTGGACAAAAGGGTCCTCAGCATTCTCATCAGATGTGGCTCTATATCCTTGTAAACTCTGCTTGTCACCATAAGAGTCCTCGACCAGTGCCTGGAGTTTGCAATGTATTGGATGAGGGCTCAGAGAGTTTACTTGGGAAATATGGAAAAATATACATCTTGTCCAAAACATGGTACTGGAAGAGGGCTGTGTGCTCATTCAGGGCCAAAAGGATAGCAGGTGAATCCTGGAGCAAATCAGGCCAGGACTTTCCCTGAAAGCAAGAATGATGAAAGTGAGGCTGTTAGCTTTCCAACACCCAGTGGCAAGGCAAACCTCCTGGAGAAGGCCATGATGCTAGGGGAAGCTGAAGGGCAGGAAGGCATGGAAGTCTGAATATGAGATGGATTGCTTCCATAGATTAAGCCTGAGCCTTAAATTTGCAAGTGCTGAGCAGGGTGGCTAAAGAAAGAATGTTTTGTTGGGCCTCCATTCCTAGGCTTGCCAGAGGTCAGAGATGACTTGATGGCACATAATAAAAAGAACAAGATCAACATCCTTTTGCAAGCAGTTCCCATGCCTGGGAGAGAGACTGAATGAGTACAGTAGCTGGTGTTACATTCTGTATGAAGGTCTCTGGCACATTCTACACATGGAACTCCAAGCTTTATTGGAGATTTGTGTCACTTTGGCAACTCAAAATGGCTTTGCAACTCTTTGTCTTTCATTCCATCTGTGAGTATGCATGGAAGGGAGAGTTTGGCTCCACTGGTGTAGGCAGGCATGGGTCAACTGAACTCTGGATTACTGCAATGTGTTCTGTGGAGAGCTAACCTGAAAGAAGCTTGAAAGATGCAGTTGTGACAGAATGCAGCTTTTCAAGAGCCATTCCACTTCTTCCTTTGACACCCTCTAAAAGCTATGCAGTGGCTGCCCATCAGCATCTTTGTGAGTTTTTTTTCCTCCTGTATTCCATAAACTTTGGATCAGGAGACTTGTGGACACGTTTTCTCTTTGATCATCCATTGAGCACTTCTGAAGAGACATACACATGGTTTGAAAATTGCCTTGGAAGCCATCAGGAGACCATTCAGTACAACTGTTCCCACCCCACCATTGATACAGTCATGTCTTTCCAGGCAAGCATGAACTAACGGAGAAATTTTCATGAGCCTTTTATTTTCTTGTTTTATTTCTGTAATTTGTGTGTTTGTGCATTGTGTTGACATTTATTGATCATTGTTCTGTTCAAGTGCTTTAGGAGTGAAGCAGCTTCTAAATCCTTGGGAGAATAATCAGGAATTGCCAATTATTGCACAACTGAAGAATCTTGATCCTGTATTCTGGATCAAAGATTCAGGGAATACATTTGCCCAGCTCTTTGAGACTTAGGAAGTTCCCAGTGGAGTTCCATGCATCTTCATGCCATGATGATGTTGTCTACCCATGGCTGCTCCTTGGTGCCTGAGGGAGATAAAATTGGACTGCCCCTGCTGGGAAGTCTGCTGATTGCCACTTCAAAGGCTTCCAGCTGGAGGAAAAGCCCATCTTCACAGAGAAGACATGTGAAAATGGGACTTAGTCTCATTCCATACCAATGTCTGATTAGGTCTAGATAGCACTGGCTATCAGGCAGGTGTTGTTATTATGTCTTATTTGTCTGTTATGTCTTTTGTTTATGTTTTGTGTGATCAAGTCATCTCTGACTTATGTCAGCCTGTGAATGAAAGCCAAAATTACCTATCCACAACTGCTCCATTCAGCACTTCCACATTCAAGGCTGTGACTTCCTTTCAGATTCAATCCACCTTGTAGTTCAACTTACATTGTATCTTCTGCATTCAGCTCTCCCTAACATGATTGTCTACTTCAGGGAGCATTGCCTTCTTATGAGGTGTCTGCAGTGGAGGGGAGAGAAAGAGACAATGGTTCCGTGAGGGCCACCAGAATACTGAGGGTGGCAATTTGGCTGGCCTTCTGCAGGGGACCCCACTCATGAGGGAACCCCTCTCATGTTCCAGGGATGGCCCTGGTAGCAGGACATTCCTGAGGTTAGCTATCCACAAAGAAGTTCCGTTCCTCTAGACTGCTTAGATGTTGACTCTCATCAACCAAAACCAGGCTGGTCAGGAACAGGAATCTGGGAGACATCTGTAGGGACCAGCTGGGAATGCTAGGTTACTGTGCAAAAGGAACTTCTCCACATGATATCACTGATTTTGCTCAGGTGCAAAATGCTGAGGGAGAAAAGGTAGGTCATCAATAATGTGTCTCACTGTGAAATCTGAATGCAGTTGGGATACGCATTGACTTCGATACATGGAAGATTAGAACACAGAGCAAGGATGGCCAAAATACTGAACATCATTACAACACAGAGAGCCCTGTTACTGTGGAGCAGCATTCAAATCTAATCATTAAAGATTTGAGTGAGTGAATGAATGATGAAAGAATGAGTGAGTGAATGAATGATGATGGATGGATGAATAAAATTAATTGGTTGCCTTCTCTATCGTTCTAGTTCCACAATTTCTTAAGGGGAATCTGGCAATCTAACACTTCCATCAATGGGCTGCATTTGGACAAGCATGGACGGCTAGAAGCTGACTTTGATATTGTGAACTGGGTGCTGTTTCCCAATGGTACTCCTGGAATGGTGACCATTGGGAGTTGGATGAGAGGGGAATTCCCAGGGAGAAGACTCAGCATCAACCCAGAAGCTATTGTGTGGCCTAATCATTTTAACAAGGTGGGGGAAATCATTTCTGTCCTATTATTGGCATGTGGATCACAAACAATCTCTGTGATAGTACACTTGAGACATTCATTGTCAGCATACATGCAGCAGCACTTTGCCAAGCAAACCTCATCACTAAAGCAGAGGCTTAGTAGGGCACCGGTCCCCACAGGCCTTCCTGTTCAGGCTTGGGTTCTCTGGATTCTCAATGCACAGCTGGTGGAATGCCAAAAGCCCTCCATGACCTTCCAGTCTAATCCATACTGCCAGGTAGCTCACCTTTCAGAACCCTCAAAAGTGGACCCAGAACAGCCAACAGCTATTCCATGCAGATAGTCGAAGATTTAGCTGTGAAAGGAGAAAACATGGAAAGTTGACTAAAACTGAAGTAGTGAGATTATCATGGATGAGGTGAAAGGCCAATGAAAGGCAAGGTCTGCTGGGGAATTGTCCAGCTATGCAAGCACAGAGCTATTCTTGCCCCATACTGCCATGTTTTCTCCAACTTTGGGCTCCCTGGCCATTTTATTGGGGATGCTGCAGAGTTCCCTCTTGCCTCCACAGAGATTCACCATATGCACTGACTTGCTCCGTTGGGCACTGGGAGATTTTGAATGTGTCCCTGGAGTGTTGAGAATGGGCTGCTCCATTTACACCCAGACATCAGAATACAGTGAGGACAGGGATCTTCTGAAGCTGTGTCTGGGTGCACTCAGTGAGGCCCACAGACTGGTTCTGATTCTTGACAAGACCCAGATTGCGTGGTTCACTAGTTTGGAGGCACAGGAATGGGGGACTCTCTCTGCTTCCAATGGCAATGCATTCCCTGTGAAAGAAGAAGAGGTGCTTCTGGATGCACAGCAGGCAGCAGAGACCCAAGTGGCTTCTGGGGACTGGAGCAAGATGCATCATCTCTGGGTGTTATGTCCACCCTGCCAGACCTTTGAGTGACTGTCTGGCCTATTTTCTCCATGTGTTGGGAACCTCATGCCAATTCAATGTCATGTGCCCTGTGTGGTGATACCTTGGTACAGAGGCTGTGGTTGTTGTGTGAAGTGAAAGCAAGATGCTTAATGGGGCTCCTAGTCATGACAATGCTACATCAGTTTTGAAGCTTGACTTCCCTGTGGCTAACAAATCAAGAGGAAACTTTCTGGTTCCTGACACCCAGCAGAGCAGAGCAATCTGCCCCAACTAGTTTAGGGCCCTGGGATCCAATCACCCAAGCTCCCAAGGAATAAGCAAACAGGAGTTTGAAGGAGTTCAGTGGGGGAGGTCTAGGGGGAGGTCCCTAATTTTTTTTACCCCTTCTTTCTTTCCTCTTCTTTATTTCAGCTTAATCCATCCCCAAAGACACTTGTTGTCCTTCTTGTGACGCACTCCCATTTACTAGTAGGACAGTGTTGCTAACCTTAAAGTGAAGACAGGAGAAAGCACCACTTGTCACTACAGTTCCACAGGGCAGAATCACTAAGGATGCACAAACAATGGACCTAGAAGACTCCATAGTGGTGGTGGCCTGCAAAAACCATGCACTTTTTGCTTTATTACCTGTGAGCAACATGTCCTACACATGCAACAGTTGCAATTTGCAGCCCTGCTAGAAGAAAAGGAGCAGTGAGTGTCTACCCTCATGATAATAGAAAAAAATGAAGTGTTCCTAGACATAGCAGAGGAGCTGTAACAGCTAGGTGTAGTCCAGAGGCAAGAAGAGCATCAGCAAGTGGAGGCAGAAGAAGGAGCCCTGAGGAGAGGTAAAATGAGGAAACTCCCTGGAACAAACCAAATGCATCAACAAAAGATGCAGAACACATGGTTCCTCAGAACTGGGGGAAAAAAAACTTGGCCTGTAGGAATTGTTGACAAAATTCTAAATGTGAGATTAGAATGTGATGCAGCCGCCAAAAAGGCACATACTATTTTGGAATGCATTAATAGAAATATTGCTTCCAAATCATAGTAATAGTTCCCCTCTACTCCTCACTACTCAAACCACATCTGGAATGCTGTGTCCAGTTCTGGCCATCAAAATTTAAGAAAGATAAGGAAAAATGAGAAAGGGTCAAGAGGAGGGCAACAAAACTGATCCAGGGTTTGGAAACACTGTCCTGTGAGGAGCAGCTGGGAGAACTGGGCATTTTCAGCCTTGAGAAGGGAAGATGCAGTGGGGACATGAAATCCCAGAAAAGCTTTCACAAAGACAAATATCCTTTAAGGGAAAAAAGACAGAACAACTACTTGATTCCTTTCAACTGGTAGTGCATTATTTGGATACTTCCTCTTCATGATGATGATGATGATGATGATGATGATGATGGCAGAACATAGAAAGCAGGAGAGAACAGGAAGGCCCTTCAAAGGTGTGGCCCCTCAACTCTGAGGTAGCTAACCCAAACACTAGTTATTAATGACTAATGAGGTCTTTCCTTGCTGCTCCACACCAATGCTACTCATGGATGCTGTTGAGAAGCTTCTTTGCATGTTGCTTCTGTTCTACAAGGAGAGCTTTTGAGTCATTTCCTTAGCACTCTTGCAATACTGTACTATTCAGTCTTACAGCATTACTGTCTTGGTTCAAGCTGTACAACACACTCTGCATTAAGAGGAAGGATTGCAATGCTCAAAAAAAATGAGTGCACAAAACTGGTTTACTGTAGTACATAATCAAAACTTATTTCAAAACTTGACTGTTTGTCTCAGGGACTGGACCTCACCTGGAACATTCAGACCCTGTTATTCGCCGCTGAGAAATGGACTCTAACACTGCTTCTTCTCTTCAATGCCAGGTGGTGCCTCGTTCCAGGTGTGTAGAGAGCTGTCACCCTGGTTCTGCCAAGGAGACTCAGGAAGGGAAGCTGCCCTGCTGCTATGCTTGTGCCCCGTGTGCAGAAGGGACCGTCTCCACTCAGGAAGGTGGGTCTCCACAGCAGAAACAGTTTTCCCTTCAAACATAGGGCAAATGGTTGAGTCTGCCCAAACCCTCTTTGTTTAATAGGTGGCAACTGGAAGGAGAAGTTTAGTGAACAAGCAGGGCGGTGTTTCACTTGTGGTCTTCTGTCAATGGAAAACCAGTGGCAGGGGAAGCCTTCTTCATTTGCTCAGCCAGTTTAGCAGTGTTGATGCTCTTGCCCTTTTGATCCTCTCACTTGTGATGAAGTCTCCTTCTTTTTAGGAATTAACTGATGAACAGTTTTAGACAAAATTGTTGAGGATAGCTTTTGTACTCAGGAGTGTACCCAAGTGGGGATCCAACCATGTCATTCCATCCTGCCTCTGCAATTTAGCTGTTCAAGCAACCACTCCCCTCCAACACATTCTGCCAGGTCCTGGCCCTCTTCAGGAAATGGTGCAAACTAGCTGCTTTGCTCTCCCTTCTAGGCAGCATAACAATGAAAAAAGATAAAATGAAAGGAGGCCACTTCCTACCACCTGAACTTGATTCACACAACCACTTATTGTTGAGATGCAAATGGGAAAAAAGCAGAACTACTCGCACAATTGAGGTGGCTAGATGGAGTCATTGAAGCAATCAGTGTGAGCTTAGTTGGGCTCCAGGGGATGGTGCAGTACAGGAAGGCCTGGAGGAAAGTTGTCCATGGGGTCGCAATGGGTCAGGTGTGACTTTGCAACTAGAAACTACTCCCACAACTATGTTGGGTTTAGCAAAGTTTCCCATCATCCATCCATCCATCCATTCATTATACTTATAAGATTTGTATCATGCCTGTTTAGCCAGAATGGCCAACATGCATAATACTTTCAGTGAGCGCATACTGATTCTTTAGTTCTGACTGTTAGGAACTCCATCATATCCTTCAGAGATGGACTGGTGTATCATGCAATTGCAGGGCCTTGTGTGATGGTGATGACAAAGACAGAGCCTGAGAGGCAAAATGTGTGATCCCCACCCTTCATCCAAGGACCTTGGCCTCTCCTCCTGACAGAGCAAACACAATTACCTCCTGATATCTCCAACATTCCCTTCTTTACCAAAAGCAGTAGATGCTATTGTGGATGTACCATTAAAAGTGGCATTGATGAAGTGGCTATCTTCATTTCCAGATACAGAGCAGTGCAGAAGGTGTTCTGAAGATCAGCACCCAAACAAGAACCGAGATCATTGTGTCCCCAAGAGAATTACCTTCCTTTCCTATGAGGAACCTTTGGGGATTCTCCTGGCTTCCTTAGCCCTAATATGGCTTTTCAGCTCAGGCATTACATTTGGAATCTTCATTAAATTCCGACAGACTCCAGTCATCAAAGCCAACAACAGGAACCTCTCCTACATTCTCCTCGTCTCCCTCCTGCTTTCCTTCCTGTCTTCCTTCCTGTTCATCGGACAGCCAAGCAAAATGACTTGCCTGCTCCAACAAACAGCCTTCAGCATTATCTTCTCAGTTGCCACCTTGAGTGTTTTGGCCAAAACCATCACTGTGGTGCTGGCCTTCCTGGCCACCAAGCCAGGGAACAGGGTGAAGAGATGGCTGGGGAAGAGTTTGGCCTACTCCATTGTCATTTCATCTTCCAGTGTCCAGGTCATTATCTGCTCCATCTGGCTGTGCATCTCTCCACCCTTCCCAGATGCTGACATGCACTCACAGCCAGGACAAGTCCTCCTGCAGTGCAATGAAGGGTCTGTGGCCTTGTTCTACACTGCTCTCAGCTACATGGGCTTGCAGGCTGCCATCTGCTTCATTGTGGCTTTCCTGGCCAGGAAGCTGTCGGGAGCCTTCAATGAAGCCAAGCTGATCACCTTCAGCATGCTGGTCTTCTGCAGTGTCTGGGTGTCCTTTGTACCCTCTTACCTCAGCACCAAGGGGAAGTACATTGTTGCTGTGCAGGTCTTCTCCATCTTGGCCTCCAGTATTGGGCTGCTGGGTTGCATCTTTCTTCCCAAGTGCTACATCATTGTCCTGAGGCCTGATCTGAATACAAAGGAACATCTCATGATCAAAACCAAAGAAACCTTCTGACTGAAGGGTTTAGCCAGGAAATGGGACTCTGGATATCTGATAACAGGAGTCTTTTCAGTAATGACATTTCTTACCACATGAAGACTTTTTTCTTCTTCTACACATCAAAGTTCTTCAACATTTATTACTTAAACATTCAAAAGCATTTTTAGATCTTTGAATTATTCCTGGATTTCACTTTGTCTTTGAATTGGGGTGTGAAGATTTTGAAAATTTTACATTTTTCAGCATGCTGTATATTTGGCCTTTTAACTGCTGTGAATCACCAAGAGAGTTTTGGCTATTGGCTTGCTACAGTAAATGAATATATATATAATAATCCAGCCAACACTGCTGCATCTCTTTTGTCAAAAGGCTCCTAGTATTATTACATTCATTTCCCACTCTTTATCTTCTTGTATCGTAGTCAGAGCAGCTCACAAGGTTTTATCCACATTTTATTCAGAAAACCAAAACTTTGGAATGCCTGTGACTGGCGAAAGATCACCTTTTGAGTTTCATGCTCGAGTGGGGAGGACAACCCGTGTCTTTCCAAACAAGCCAAATGTGCTTGGAACACCTTCATTGTTGAGCTACCTTCTCTCTGCTCCTCAGAGAAGAAAGCTTCTCCTGTTGAACTTCAGCTTGGCTATATACTAAGACCTGCTGTTCTGCCAGATAATCTTGGACTGCCCATCCCCTGAAAGGGTGGCACTTGCCCTCCAGAATGCCTAGAATCGGTTGAGGTTTTTGCAGAAGTTTAATGCATGTGGTCAGAACAAGGCCTGGTTTTGCAATCAAGTGCCTACACACACAAGACTTGCAATGGAAAGCTAAGTTGATTCCTCTGAAAAATAGAGGACAGGCCCAAGCTTTTCACCTGATAGTGTCCAGACAGCAAATACTCCTGTTGTATCCAATCCCTCCTCTTGATTTCTAAAGAAAGAACATGAGAAAGAGTGGAGAAACCCAGTTAATTCTACCATCCTTCCTGGCTTAAGAAGTGTGGACAAGACACGATTCATGGCCATCCCACGGACGACATCCCTGGATGTTAGGGCAGCTTGATACTGAGTTTGGCATTTCAGTTTCCATGTCTGCATTTATGAATATGATCCTGCATCAGCATGGGTTAATCTGTGTGGTGCAAAGTGATTGCCTGGAGGGAATGGATGGTCCTGTGCAGTGGTCCTATCTCATGATATTGGACAGTTCCAAGTTCATTGTGGAGTGGGGGGCCATTCAAAGTTTGGTCCTTTTTGAATATACTAAGTGAGTTCACTTTTGATTCTTTGCCCATATAGAGAATTGTGATTGGGAAATTTCTTCAGCCTTGTTATCCAGACTGAGCTTTTCAGAGATGCCACTTTTCAGAAAAGACACTACTGGGAAAGGAGGCTTGATCCTGACTTAGAAGAAGGACATTCCTACAACCTAAAGGAGAAGCTTGGCCACATTGGCTTGAATGGGTCTCTGTCTAAATGCCTGGCTAAGCCACATGTTGCATTTGCTGCCCTTGCACAGATTCCAGGGTGTGTCAGAAGCTTTGTAGAGACTTTTCCCCTTCCCTGCTTCTGCCCCTCAAAATTATTTCAATCACACTGATTCCAGTCACTTCTCCCCAAACCTTGACGGATTTGTCTTGAGACGTTTTTTCACTCAAGAATGTAAACAGCAGCATCTCATGCCTCAGGAATAATATGCCTTCCACCTCTTAATTCAATACTCCATATTGAGTATTGCTAGTGCAAACCTTACCGGAGTGCAAACCTTACTGGAGTATTCATCAGCTTCATCTTGTGATTGTCCTGGCCTTCCAAAACAAGCAGACTTCCTCTAAGCTTGGCTCATTTTCCAAGACTGGACCTTGCAAGAGGAGAAGTCCATTCATGCTAGAGGGCTGGATTCTCCTAGGATTCAACCCAACCCTACACAAACCCACAACAACGCACACTACATGGCTTATCATGCTTGGAGAGAAGGAGAGGAAGGACCACATTTACCACCTGGGGAAACCAACATAGCTCTCAATTGAAAGAATGAGGATATCTGCAAAGGGCCAAATGTTGCCCACTACTGGAATATCAAAAGATGTTCCCGATTTGGGTTCCTTTGCAAGGGGGTCTCTGACAGAGGTCTGGCCAAGCTCCCATTTCCCACATCCTCTGCTTACAAAAGTTGCAGGCTATTAAAAGAGGACTAAAACATGTTTCTCTCTCTGTGCTTCTGTGCCTTGAGGCACACAATGGGTCCAGCAACAGAAGAATTATCTCTCTCCTGTTGGATGTTCCAAACAGAGTGATTATTTTTGATTCCAACCAATGCTCTGGAGGCCTTCTGGAGATTTCTTTTGAGACAAATAAAGAACATTGCAATATTAAGGGGAATGTCAGAAGATTGTATGCTTTGTGCCTGGCAAATTGACTATGTACAATGCCAGCAGTGCTCTTGAGGCTCATGGCAGGCAGAGAGATGCAGGGACTGTGCCCTGGTAAAGATTAGAAAAGCCCCCTTAGGCTCAGAAGTTATTGAATCAGTTGGACTGCAGGGTCAGTGGTTTCTGGTTGAGTTGGGTGTGCTGGTGAGAAGAGCAGGCACATGGGACATGTGGAAACCAAGGCAAGGTAACCCAGTGTCTGTGATTCTGCTGTTTCTGCTTTTGCCACATGCAGTTTCTGAGATGCAGAAGACAAATTGTCCTGTGAATATGTTTAAAGAAGGAACACATAACTATTATCAGCTGGGAGACTACCTGAGCAGTGGCATTGTTTCTTCACGACAGTTTGGGAATTACCAACCCTATGTCTTTTATGAGTCACCAGCCAAGCAGAGGGATCGGAAAGACATGATGCTTACATGCTTCCCATACCACACTCCAGCTGTGCCTCTCTTCTGCAGCCAGCCCATAGCTCTGGTACGATAGTTGTCCCCTCAGATTTTCTGCTCTGTATTTTGTCCCTCTGGTCTTTCCTGAAGGAAAATTGGGAGCATCCATAACAAAAAGCTGCAGTCTGCATGGCCACTGCTCGCATGGTTTCAGTCTTAAGGAGAATGTCTGCTTGCTTTAACAAGCATGGCAGGATCCAGGCTAGAGCCAAGGGGACTTCACATTGTGGTTGCCTAAATTACTCAACCTATCACATGCCTCCCCTGCCAGTTGCAAAGGAAGTGGATGTCTCTGAGTTTCATGTTATCTCAAGGAGGTAGAACAACATCCATTGTGGATCATCTGTGGGGAAGTCAGGGAGGCTGAATGCCAAGCAAGCTTCTTTTGTGTAAGCATGGGTCTTTTCCTTCAAGTATTTCCACTTGGCATCTTGGGGAGGAGAGGAGGTCTTGCTTCCCATGACCTTCTTTGACTTACCTGTTGGAAAAAGTCAGCCACATGAATGTTCCATCTCTGGCCCTTTCATGTGAATAAGAAAATCAAATACTTCAGATGGGGAGAAAATGAATGAATGTGCCTGTGAGTATTCTAGGTGCAAAGTAGTTTCTGTGACTCCTTCAGGCATTGTGGCACATCACCTGTTGGGACTTCTCATCTAGCCTTCAGCATCACAAGAAGACGTGAATGGTCCATCTAGGCCAGCATTTGATGTACACAGTAGCCAACAGAGTGGTAGTGGGAATCTCAAAAGCAGGAATGAGAGCAATAAAACCCCTCTATTTGCATTTGGGTTTTCATATGATCCTGCCTCTGCTAGGGATGTGTGAGCAATGCATCAGGGTGGAAACCTATCATATTCCTTGAGTTTGGCTCCCTAGAAGCCAGTTCACGTTGCTGCAGCCCAAAGTCCAAGTTGCTGGAGAGTTTGCCCAGTATTTTTGAGGAGCTATCCAGGAATAAGCCCACACCTTTCACAAGCAGTCCCTCTCTCACACAGCAAGTGAAGCTTCCCTTTGGGTGCCTGCAACTGATGCTGAAGAAGGCAGGTGTGGGGGCTCACTGGGAATGTGGTCCCCATGATGGCTGGCAGCATGCCCTTCACAGGCCAGGAGTAGCTCCCATGTAAGAGGTCACAACAGACAGGCAAACTTGCCTAAGTGGTAGTCTGCCAGCATTCACAGACTTCTTCTCAGGTCTGCAAAGATTTGAAGAACAGCCTGAGCACAAGAGGAAGACTGCAAATGCTCAGAGGAGGGATTTTGAGAAGTTTCATCCCAACTCCAGTCTTTAATAGCAGAGGCAGCATAGAGCCATCAGAACTGACACAAATTCAGACAAGTTGCCCTGACTAGGGTTGGTATGAACAGTTCTGGAATCCACCCGTGCAGAATCTGTGGGCTTCCTCTCATGTTTGGCTCAGCCCTACAATGGTAGCCGAGTCAAAAGGAAACCCATCCAAAATATTTCCCAACTAAATGGTGCACTTGCCACCAGTGGGCATGGAAGAATAGCACTGATTGTGCAGCATATGGGACTCTATTCCTGTGAAACGTCCTGCAAATGCTGGGTGTGCTCTCCAGGAACCCAGGCTCCATGCTGATGTGAAGACACATTGAATCTGGGAAACTAGAACCAGGCAATCCAACAGATTTTTTGCAAATTCCTAGCTGTGACTGCACCAGCTGCAAGCAAATGCCAGCATTTAATTGCATGCTGTCTGATTGAAACCTTCTCACTATGTGTCCTGACTCACATCTGAATCTTCTTCATAGAATGAGCAGCATTTCTCTATTTCTCATACTGCAGTTTCCCATTTGTGAGGTACTGGTACACATTGTCCTTCTTGTTTTCTATCTGTGAGATCAACAAGAATCCCAGGCTCATACCCAACATCAGCCTGGGCTACGACATCTATGAGAGCCATTTTGATGCTAGGACAACCTCCTGTGCCATGGTAGGCCTGCCTTCTAGTGGGGAAAGCCACCTTCCCAACTTCAGCTGCAGGAAGAAGAAGAACCAGCTGGCCATTCTCAGAGGAACTGAATCAGACATCTCCACAGTTATTTCAGCAATGTGGGGCATCTACAAGATTCCTCAGGTAGGCCCTGAGAGGGGAAGAGAGGGCAGCTCCACC